AAGGGAAATATGATATGAAGAAATTAAGAGAACATTTTATGAAAGGAGGAGGGATAAAAGAGAAATCGATTCATGAAATAAATGAAAGAATTCAAAGGATAGTTAAAGAAGAAAAGAATATAATTGAAATAAATGATAATGGACTTTTATTTGGAGATTATCATGGACAATATTTTGATTTTTTAACACAACTGGAAGATAAATATTGGGAGAAAAAAGAAGCAACAAAAATATATCTTGGAGATTATGTTGATAGAGGACAAATGAGTACAGAAATAATAATAACATTATTTTGTATGAAAATAAATAATCCTAAGAAAATAATAATTTTAAGAGGAAATCATGAAACAAGAATGATGACAGAAAGGATGGGATTTATGAAAGAATGTCAAAAGAAATATAATATTAATATATATTATGAATTTTGTGAAAGTTTTAATTATCTTCCACTTGGAGTAATTATTAAAAGAAAAATAGGGAAATTTTTTTGTTGTCATGGAGGAATTTCACCAGAAATTAATAAAATAGAAGAAATTAATGAAATTAATAGATTTTGTGAACCACCAAGTAAAGGAATAATTTGTGATTTATTATGGTCAGATCCTATTACAGAAGAATTTTTAAATGAACATTTAGATTTTAAAATGTATTATCAATCAATTGATTTTATTCCTAATATAGAAAGAAATTGTTCATATAAATATGGATATAAAGCAATTAATAAATTTCTTCAAGATAATCAATGTATTGCAATTATTAGAGGACATCAATGGGTTAATGATGGTGTTGAAATGCATTATTTTGGAAATAATCAATTAAATTTTCCACTTTGTTTTACAATTTTTGGTGCAACACATTATTCATTTAAAAATAAAGCAGCAGTTATGCTTATTACTGATACAAATATTGATATTAGTAAATATCCAATATCATTAGTTGATAATGATTATAATCCTACTATTGAATATGCTTTAAATTATTCATTAGATATTATAATGGAAAATATTAGTTCATTTATTAAACAATTTATTTATTTAACATTTACTACTGATGATATAGATGATAATTTAAAT